TCTCCTCCCCGTGTCAATCAATATTTATTCGTAAACTTTGTATTACTTCAGTTGTTAAACAAACATGCATTAAATATCTGAGAAGCAACCAGGAGCAAAGCCCCTCTGGAAACTTGTGATTGACATTTAGCATTAGTGAAAAATAAACCATTGTGTTTAAAGCACTGAGATGTGCAAGTTATAGTCTTGGTAACATAGTCTTTTATGACTGCCACAAAATTGGTTACTAGAAAATGGGTACTGCCATAAGAAAAACCTCAAATATGAGTCATAAGCTACAGGACTCTGTGTCAGATGGGAAGAAAACACAGCAAAGTATGTGTGCGCGCACACACACACATATCTCAAAAATAACTGTAGATAATACTTCTGTGGTATTCTTGCCAAAAATGAATAACCTCAATCTGATCATAAGAAAACATCAGGAAAACTCAAATTAGGAGGTATTTTACTAAATGCCTGACCAGTACACTAAAAACTGTTAAGGTCATGGAAGACAAGAAAAGACTAAGAAAAAGTCACAGATGAGAGGAGGCTAAGGAGACTTAACAATTAACATATATTGTGGGATACTGGAAAAGAAGAAAAACATTAATGGGGACACAGATGAAATTTGAATTAGTTCTATAATATAGTTAATATTGTTAATTTCCTGGTTTTGATAATTACACGATTGTTAAGATGTTAATAATACAGGAAGCCAGATGAAAGGAATATGATAACTATTTTCTGTAAGTTTTCTGTAACTTTAACTTACTTCAGACTAAAAAGTAAAAGGATATAGTGGAAGAACTGAGTAGCTTTGTCAAAATGTCATGCAAAGGTGAGTAAAAAATTCTTCATGTAAAAATCGAAAACAATTGTGTGTGTGTCTTTGTGTATCAAGTTCAATTGCTCCCTTTAGGGACCTAGAGAGTGTATGTGTTTGTGCGTGTGTGTGTGTGTGTGTGTGTGTGTGTGTGTGTCTGTGTGTGTGTATGTGTCTGTATCAAGTTCAATTTCTCCTTTTAGGGATCTATAATTCCTCCACATGGCAAATGTCCAAGTCTAAGTAACCAGGGGATTTCTTCAGTCCAAAGCATGGGAGGTTGCATTAGTCAGGGTTCAATCAGAGAAACAAACACTCTGAGAGTGATACACATATAAGCAGGGACTTATAATAGGCTCCAGGCTTTATTGAATTGTGGAAGCTGGTTAATTAGTTTCAGCGAGGCTTCTGTCTTTGCATCAGATGCTGAAACCTGAGGTCAGGAGGGAATCAGGAAGAAGAGACGATGCAAAGTAGAGGCAGCAAAGGTAAATGGAATCCATGGGGAATATCTGGAGCTCACAAGGACTGACTGGAACCCATACTGATCTTTCACTGCCTTCAAACCTCCAATTTCAATGACATCAATGCCCTTAACGTAAAAGCGGGCATTCTTTTTCTATGGAGCTGGTGAAGAAGAAGGAAGATATGAGGGAGAACTGGAGCAGGTGTGGGCCCAGATGCTGCCCCACACCAACAAGGTAAGCCAGGATATAAGCAAAAAGGTTGATGAGCTGCAGCAGCGCCTTTCTAAGCATAAAGCATAAAATAAATGTGGCTACTACTTTATTTTGTCTCCCCAATCTTTCACCAAATGCCTCTTGTAGCACAAGCAATCTCAGAACCATTCAGGGAACCCTGAGTAAACTTTCAGTTTAGCTAAGAGGGCAGAATATAAATTCCCCACAGAGGCAGACCTTCCAAACAGCAGGTGGAAAAATAACCGCATAACTTATCTGCTTTCACTTTTCCTCTCATTGACACCAACTATCACTTGAAACACCAAATGATGTTTTGTTTAATGTTTTGTTAATATTATTGCTGGTATACATCCCATAAAGTTATACACGGGGCCCGAAGCTTGGAATTCAACTTCATAACAATCTTCTTATGGCCTGTAAATTCTCTTTTGGGACTCTGTAAGATCCTTTCCTGACAGAAGAGCTTGGTAGGGGCTTCTTGAGGCTCCCAGATCAGAGGACAGTTGTTCCTAGCTTTGGATCTTAGTTAGCAGGAACTTCATTTGTTATATTCCATTCTAAATTCTAATCTCATTATGCAAATTACTCTACATTTTCCAAAAAAAAAAAAAAAAAAAAGAGGTAATATTCATCTGAAGAAGTATTACCAAAGAAAAGCCATTGCCAGGACACAGGATGTTTCATTACATCCTTCTACCTGTGTCTACTAAAAATACAAACAATAGCCGGACATGGTGGCACACACCTGTGGACCCAGCTACTTGGGAGGCTGAGGCAGAATTGCTTGAACCCAGGAGGCAGAGTGAGCCAAGATTGTGCCAGTGCTCTCCACTCTGGGCAGCCAAGTCAGACTCCATCTCAAAAAAAAAAAATAAAGAAGAAGAATGATACTGTGTAGTTCACGGGTGTTAGGGAAAATGCAATCTTCTGAATTCATTTACAGAAATAAGAGATATAAAATAAAAACAAATATTTTTATTGAACAGTAACTGGATATCTAGCAACTTAAATTTGTTTTCAGTAAAGTTTAAAACAATTTTTAAAACAATTTAAACTCATAAAACAACTCAGAGAACTTTAAACAATGTATGGATGTCAAAGAGGATTTTTCTAACAACTATATCAAATGGTTATATGTAAGTATAAAACAATTTTTATTGCAACAATTTTTAAAACAATTTAAACTCAGAACAGCTGATTTTAAATACCACATGGATGTCAAATAGAATTTTTCTAACAGCTATATCAAATGGTTATATGCATGTATAAACAATTTTTTTTGCAACTTATTTTTAAAAGTTAATTAAAATATATTTTTTCAAATATGAGAGATGTATATATTCTTGCTGGCATCTTATAGGAGATGTTTGTCCCAGGAGGACTTCCTAGAATGCAATGCTGTGGGAGTTCCCAACCATAAAATTTCAGGAAAATTTAATGTGCAGAGTAAACAATGTCATGTGATTACATTCAACTTAGTACTTATCAACTTCACTGTACTAAAATTCACCAATATGATTAACGTATGGATTCAGAAAATGCAGATAATCCCAAGTTATTTGCTCTGAGGGGATGAATTACCTGGGTAGGAATTCATCTACACACTACTCTTGTTTTCCTTTTCTGAGGCTGCGTGTTTGTGTGTGTGTGTGTGTGTGTGTGTGTGTGTGTGTGTGTGTATTAGGAATTAATCTAAATACTACTTCTCTTTCCTTTCTGAGACTGTGTGTGTGTGTGTGTGTGTGTGTGTGTGTGTGTGTGCCTGTGTATGTGTGTGGCCAAGTGTCAGTATTCAAAGAACAAAACTATGGTTTGTGTTATTTTACCCCTAAAAAAAACCACATTTTTAAAACTTTCTACTGAACTGAGAAGTTGACCTTGAAAACAAACTGTTAAAGGATGAAAAAAGTAAAAAGGTAATAGTTTTCAGAATGTTTGAAATGAGTAGATACATCTAATAAGGCCAGTAACTTTTTCAACAAAATTAGGAAATTTTAGAGGTCAACTGTAAGGGAACAAAGAAAAAGAGGCATAAATAAGTTGTATATGCACTCATATAAGGGGTAAACATAAGAGGCATAAAGAAAAAGAGGAAAGGAATGAGAGACAAGGAATGTGTGGAAGGAAGAATGGAAAGTAAGGAAGAAGATGGAAGAGATGGTTTTTAGCATATATTTGGAAAACTAGAAGACAACAAGCAAATCTATTAATCTATTGACAATTCTAAATTAGTCAAACTGAATTTTCAAGTCCAGTGTACTTAAGTGGCATCTAGCTGGACTGGATATGAGGCCTTCAAGATGGCAAGCACTCCCCTTGATCTTGGCCCTCCTCTTAAGATGGATCTGAGGTGCTGGAAGCCTCATCCAACTCTTCAACTGGAACTCAGCTCTATGGTATCTCCAGCCAGGGTCATGACCTCTGTGACATCTGTCGCATGAGGAGCCAAAGCATATAGCTGTCAAACATGCCAGTATGGACCAAGCTATCTAAATCTCGTTCCTTCTTGTTCCTCTTAATCACATCTTTTAACCCAGTAAGCTCAGTGGCAGCTTCAGCTATGGGTGTCCATATCTTGACATCACGATCTAGGCCACTGGTCACCAACATAGGTAGGTAAGGGTGAGGTTCAAGACAGTTTACTACACCTCCTCTGTCCCCCTCCATGTACTGGATGATCTGGCAAGATGATTTCTCCCAGAAGAAGATGTGCCCACAATCACTACCGCTCACGACAAACTCACTCCTGGGGCCATAGAACTTAACATCTTTGATTGTGTCATTATTTCTGTGTCCCTTAAATCTCTTAACATATTCAGCACCATCACTGTCAGAGGAGTAGAAGATGTAAATATCTTCATCACTGTAGCTGGCCAGGAGCTCTGTGCCATCATGGCTGTACACAATGCTGGTGATGTTTGTTGAGACATCACAATCCACCAGATGATGAGGAGAGAATTTCTTAAGTACTCCATTGTTTTCTTTCTCATCAATTCTCCTCTGGTCATAAATCCTGACAAACTGATCTTGTCCAGCCACTGCAAATTGGTAGGTATTGGCAGGACTTATAGAGATTGTATACAGTCCCACTCTCTTCCCCATTTCTCTTGTTACCACAACTTTTGAAGCCGGCCGGCTTTGTCTGAGATCAACGGTGAAGACAACGGCATCTTCACCTGAAGTGAGGAACTTATAAGGAGAGTCTGGTTCCACAGCCAACTCGTGGGCAGCTCTCCTGTGCTGTACCACATGCTTAGTATTCTCGCAATATGATGCATTAATTAGTTCTGCTACCCGTACCTGCCCATCGTGGCCACACGTGACCAGTGTGGAATCACCACAGTTAGGAAGGAACTTAACGTGGGTGACGTTAATTTCGTGACCACTCTCAAAGTTCAGTACTGGCTGCTGCCGCACCCAGTCCCAAACTGTCACCTTTAGGTTACCACCGCTAGTGGCCAGCCGGGTACCATACTCGTTAAAGCATACAGTACCGATAGAACCGAAATGGCCTTCAAGACGATATTGCAGGCGGAAACGCTGCACAAAGGCTCTTGCCCCACAGGCCTCATAGACAAAGCGGGTACTTGAACCCAGCTGCCGCTGGCGAAGAGCAGTAACGACCTGCCAGCGAGGTCGAGGCAGGGCAGATGTCTCTGTGGAAATCCACTCCTCCAGCACCCTATCCTCGTCTAGCAAACACTGCTCATGGTTGGCACCATCGCACAGTGGACACACCTGAGGCTCTTCCTCTTCCTCCTCTCCTCCCTCCGTCCTCTCCTCTCCTTCCTCCCCTCCTTCTCTCTCCTCTCTTTCCTCCTCCTCTTCTGTCTCCTCTCTTTCCTCCTCCCCTTCTCTCTCCTGCTCTCCCAGTAAAGGGTAGTAAAATATGTTTCCACCAAGCATGAGGTAACGGTCAAATTCTGCCACGCTCTCAATTTCCACATCTTCACCTGAACCTTCTCTGTCAGTGCTTCGATTTTCTGTGCTGGTATTGTTCAGGAAACCACCATCCCTGGTATCACCGCCACCTTGGGTAGATGGCTCTGGGGCTGTCATTTCTATGTCCGAGGACGCCTCCGTCGCTGCCGGCGCTCCGGACTGCCCCTCTATACTGAACAGGCTTTCAGTCCCTAAGTCTGGTAAACCATCTGTGTTGCCCTCTTGGTGGGACATCTTGAACAATGTTTGCTCTAGCTGTTCTAGAAAAGCAAACGCCTAAAAGCTCAGAGAAGAGAGCGGGCCTGCCCTGAGGACAGACGGTGGCAGAAAGCGGTAGTTGAGCGGCAAAGAGACCCTAACCTGATTGGCTAATGAAGGCGACAAAATAATGACGTCAGTACGGGAGCCTATGAGGTTCAGAAGGCGTCTTACCTGCCCGTCTCTGACCGGCAAAGGAGGGCGACAAACTAATCACGTCAGTATGGGAGCCCGTGAGGTTCAGAAGGCTTCTTACCTGCTCCTCTCTTAGCGGCATGCATCCAGACTGCTCTCATTTTTCCAGCCCCAGAGCCCCACTGCCATGAGGTCTTACACTGTAAGTCGCTGTGGTTTTTTGAAGATTGAAACTTGCTGCACTTTGGAAAATGTTCTCATTAGAACGGTCACGCCGTGAATGCAAAGAACTCTGATACTCTTAGTCCTGCCACCAGACGGCAATATTTTGGCATGATAGTGACGTCTGTACTATATAGGTGTATCTTAAGCTAGACATAGGCTCTCAGATGAGGGTGTATGTCTGATTAATGTAAGAAAATGATCCAAGGAAAGACAGCAGACACCAAGGAAGAATGAAATCTCGGGTGAACACCCTTCTAAGGATAGCTTCAGCATGATCCTCCTTGGAAACTCTGGAGAGTGAGTTATGTCCTAGTTATCCTTACACCAGTCAAGGGAGTGAACTTTCATAGTCCTAGACTGTTCAGTCATTGGTTAAAGGCCCCGCTGGGAGGGATGAGCACATCAATTCCCAGATGTCCCAGATACTTTAAAATCTCTGCACCTGTGGGTGAAAGCAGCTTCGGCAGCTTGAGAACTAGAGGGCTGTACATTAGTACTGATGCTTGGAAAGGAAAAAGTAGATGGTACAAAAAGGGATTTGAAAGGATCTTCCAGGAACATGAACATTAACAGCCACAGGGTAGCTAATAGTGACTATTAGAAGAAAAAGTTGCAAAAGGATACCGAAGAAACTGATTAACATTGGTAATCTGTGGATAGAGAAGGTATCTACATTTTTCTAAACTTTGTATTACTTCAGTTGTTAAAACAAACATGCATTCTTTTTAATATCTAAAATATGTACATTGGAAATGCATAAGGCATATAACTGTGGACAATTCAGAAAACAGTGTGCATATTACTGATTAAAAGATAAGAAATGTGATCAAAGCAATATTCATTGAAAGAAGAATCATAGGTTTGAATATGTTCCTTATTAAAAAATTATTTAATTAGACAACAATTTTAGAAAAAAACCCAGAAAACCATCAAAAATCAGATAATTTGAAGCATAAAATCATAAATTATAATATGGATAGTCTATTATAATACAGTAAATAGAATACTAGTTTTTAAAAGTACTTCATACATGAAATTTTGGCAAATTAGGTATGGAATACTTGTTTTCTTTAAAGTGTTTAATGCATTTAATTTTGGCAAATTAAATAATGATAGAAAACATTGACAAGGCTGGGTGTGGTGGCTCACGTCTGTAATCCCAGCACTTTGGGAGGCTGAGGCGAGCAGATAACAAAGTCTGGAGTTCAAGACCATCCTGGCCAACCTGGTGAAACCCTGTCTCTACTACAAATGTAAAAATTAGCTGAGCATGGCAGTGGGTGCCCATAATCCCAGCTGCTCGGGAGGCTGAAGCAGGAGAATCACTTGTCAGGAGGTGAAGCTTCCCGTGAGATGAGACCATGCCACTACACTCAAGTCTGGTGACAGAGCTAGACTCTCTAAAAAAAAAAAAAGAAAAGAAAGAAAGAAAACATTGATAAATATAATTTGAAGCATAAAAAAGAAAAACTTGAGAGTTGTTTAAAAATATAGAGGAATAATAAATCCATTCCATCTATCTGAAAAAATATAAAATGTATGGAGAATAAAAATTATCTAAAATGATACAAGTATACAAAACCTGAACCAATTAACTAACATGGAGGAATGTAAAAACTGTATCAAGATTCTCAAAAGATGGGTAACAAGAGCAAAAACTCTGTCTCAAAACAAAACAAAACAAAACAAAGTTCTCAGTAAAGATGTTGTGTTGTTTTTCTGATATAATTTCCATGCTAAACAAATTGTTAATCACATATAAAACAATGGAAAGCCAAGCAATTTGTTTTCGAATGGAGCACAATAAGGCAATCACAATTATCAGTAATTGGCAAAGGTAACAGACACACAGGATCCCGTGTGCACACACCTATACACCCATCCCCACGCAACCATGTTTCCATAATTGTCCAATCTCAAGTATATTTAAATCAGAATACCTGATTTCCTGAAAACAAACTCAGTCATTCTTTGTGACGTATCTGCTGAGAAAGAGATTAGGGCTACTTCAGGAAAGAAAAATCAGCTTACTGTTATAATTTTTTAAATATCATGTGAATATAATGACATCTCTTTAGCATGAAAATAGTAACTTGAACTAATAGTAATTAACATTTTTAAGTGGGGCCAAGCAATAAGCAAAAATGGCCAAGTATGATCCTGGGAACTCATTTCAGTTAGCCAAGCAATTAGCTGGCTGAGACCTAGAGCACCCCCTACTTCCAGGGAGAGGAGGTGTACTTTTACTTAACTTCTCCAAGGATGGATGACTTCCTACTATTGAGAGCAGGGCTACACACATATCATAAACTTCAGTGTTTCCAAAGGCAGGGCAGCTGGCTTTCCCAGACAACCTTGATATCCCGGTACCACAACATTTTGTTCCCACAGTGATGACAGTGATGAATTTGTTCTCACAGTTGACCCCTAACACGGGAAAGTAGGAAACAGGAAGTGTCCCTCCACTTGACTGACCATGGCATGGCTCCTTGTGGAAAGGTGGAAAAAAATCAGAATATTCACACCTTCTCTTGATACTCTTGCCTTGTAAATTTCTGCAATAAAACCTTTTCCTTAATGTTAGCTCCTGTCTTTTGAGAAGCAGATGCCAAGATGGGATTAAACAGGCAAGATATTTAGTGGATAAAATGGGGAGGAATCCTGAGGGAGCTGGAGTAGTCATCATACTGTGGTGCAAGTCTAACCATTGTGCAGGAGAGAAAAGAGGATACATTTGGGTAGGAAATGTATCAGACTGTGGCACAGTTTTAAGAATATTTCAACAGTCCTCGAGTCAAAATGGGCTGTCAGAGGAGCCCTGTGTTTTACAGAATGGGTTTGTCTTAGCATCTCTGCCACATTGTCATTGGCTAGGAACAGCTCATGAAAGGCATGGCATTTGTGCCAATATCATGATAGAGGGCAGTAGCTGGGGACCTCTGTCAGTTACGATCCCTGTGTAAATCAGGAATGATAATAATAAACCAACTACCACTATAAGCCTCAGAACCTCATGACAGTATGTCCAGTTTTTAAATGATATGCTAATAAGTAGAAAAACAGAATAAATTGTATCTATTAAATTGTATCTATAATAGAATAATTGTATCTATAATAGAATATTAAACTTGACTATGTCTTTAAAAGAAAAATGTAAAACAAGTCTGCATCTATTCACTGAAGTACTAGTTATTTAATAAATCAGTCATTTCAAAGAATCTGTGCTGAAATGGTAAGATTTTCAAAATAAGTGAAATTTATCAGTATATAGCTCTGTTTCTGGTGTGGTCCTGATTACACACACACACACACACACACATACACAAATGCAGGCACGCAAACGCACACACACGCAGAAAAAGCAGATGCAAAGAAACAAACACAAACATTCATGCATAACTTTTGAAGGTTGAATGAGGAATACTTTCTTGTTCGTCCTCTATGCTTTTAACTATTTTCAAAATTTTAACTTATGCATAAAATGCAGTCAGAAAATAATTTTGTAAAATAATTTTAAAATACACAAACTATCATAGTAGAAATGTGGTCATGATTGAAGCTGTTTGTCAAATATTCCTGGTCCCCTGCTTCCAAGCACATGGTAGGAATGCTCTTCCTGGTGGCCTCATAGTTAAGTGGGGCATATGATTAGATTGAAACAATGAGTTGAGAAAAGTATGATGTATCACTTCAAGGCTGAAGCATTTAATTGCTGCTATAACATATTCCAAAGTTCTTTTTCCTCTCTGCATTGATAACCAGAAATTTTGAAAGTGGTGGATATTTCATCAGTTTAAGTATCAGAGAAGCAACCAGGAGCAAAGCTCTTCTGCAAACTTGTGATTGACATTTAGCAATAGTAAAAAATAAACCTTTGTGTTTAAAGCACTGAGATATGCAAGTTGTAGTCTTTGTAACATAGTCTTTAATGAGTGCCACAAAATTGGTTACTAGAAAGTGGGTACTGCCATAAGAAAAACCTCAAATATGAGGCATTAGCTTCAGGACTCTGTGTCAGACGGGAAGAAAACACAGCAAAATATGTGCGCGCACACACACACACACACATCTCAAAAATAACTGTAGACAATTGTTCTGTGATATTCTTGCCAAAAATGAATAACCTCAATCTGATCATAAGAAAACATCAGGTAAACTCAAATTGCGATGTATTTTACTAATGTCTGATCAGTACACTACAAAACTGTTAAGGTCATGGAAGACAAGAAAAGACTAAGAAAATGTCACAGATGAGAAGAGGCTAAGGAGACTTAACAATTAACATATATTGTTGGATACTGGAAAAGAAGAAAAACATTAATGGGGACACAGATGAAATTTGAATTAGTTCTATAATATAGTTAATATTGTTAATTTCCTGGTTTTGATAATTACACGATTGTTAAGATGTTAATAATACAGGAAGCCAGATGAAAGGAATATGATAACTATTTTCTGTAAGTTTTCTGTAACTTAAACTTACTTCAAACTAAAAAGTAAAAGGATATAGTGGAAGAACTGAGTAGCTTTGTCAAAATGTTATGCAAAGGTGACTAAAAAATTCTTCATGTGAAAAACGAAAAGAATTGTGTGTATGTCTTTGTGTATCAAGTTCA